TTTTCTTTCAAAAGAACTCCCTCTGCTACATCCACACAAGCCTTTTTCTGAAAAGGCTTCTTCCCTTTAAGGCCGTTGGAAAAACCTCTCTGTTCTTTTGAGTTTTTGTTGGACGCATACAAGAGCAGTATGAATGCAAGGATTGTTTTTTCAGGAAAAATGGCCATTTTTCCAGAAAAACGCTACAGTGTAGACGCAACCACAGATAGCTGTAAGCCTGTTGCTTTAACCCAAACAACAAAACCTCATGTGTACTGTCAAAAGTAGAGCTTGGTGGAAAATGTTTCTGAAGGAAAATTTCAAATGTTCATAAAAACAAAACAAAAAACATACAAAGATTTCAGCCTAAATCCACCGGTCAAAAGACACCCGCTAGCCGAGGACAGCAGCCACATCTCCTGAAGAGCACTGCTTAGTAGAGAACCCACTATTTCAACAACAACCCAGCTCTGATGGAATGATTTGGCCAGTGGTGGTGAGAACCCCAGAGATCCCAAACCTGGGACCTAGCAGCTGCTTCTATTGTTTTTGAAGCCATTGCAGCTGCACTTCCAGCTGAACAAAGAGGCCAAACCGGACAGAGGGCACTACTAAGCCCTGTGCAAACCTGAGTGAGAGGCGATATTTCAGGAGGAAGGATCAACCCCCCAGTGCGAGCGATGCTCTCAATTTCCGTATAGAATATCTAGGCTGACAAGTCACACAGATATAAGGACAGTGCTGGAGAAATGTCGTTTCCTTACCCTTTGCTCCTTCCGTTTGCTTCCCTGGGTCAGACTCTGGCTGAAATATATGATGTGAAAAAATTATTCTTGCCAACAATTAGACTATAGTCAGAAAGAAAGCATGAAACAGCAGCGTGTCGGCATGAGCTCCCTTCGACAGCTTCGACCACCATTTGATTCCAGTTTGGAAAGCCACATTGCAAAGGAACAGTGCTGCACTCATGGAACAGGAAGAGGAGTCGAATTCAGGGCATAGGGTGATATGGGCAAGGACACAGAAGTGAAATGGAGCAGATATCTGGGTCAAGGAACAAGCTGCCAGAGGGCTGCAGTTGTCTTGGAAGAGATTCCTCTTGCCTCTAAGAAGCTGCTCTGCCTTTAAGACTTGAGCTGAGCATAGATAAGACGAAGCCACAACACAAAGCGAATCTCCCTGCCCATTATACACAGTGTGCACCAGAACATTTCCTTTCGCTGGACTCTGCAATAATCCGTGTAGCTTGATACTCACTGAACTGGGGTTTCCTTCCATAATGGATTCAATTTCTTGCTAAAAAAGGAAACAAAGCCCAGATGTTACTCTCCTGCAGCGACATACAACAGACAGCCCAGTTCTCCTCTGACACACAGAGTCAATAAACTGACACCAAATAAAGCAGCAGTGTAAGAGGAAACGGGGACTCTGCGATAATCCATTTATCATGATACTCACTGAACTTTGTCTTCTTCCCTTAAAGGATTCACCCATCAAATGGGATTCTTTTTCAGCTATTTATAGAGCATACAGAATGATTCTCCTCCGACACCCACTGATGTAAATCAGGAGTAACTTCCCTGAAGTCCACAGCTGTGTCAAGGCTGTTCCCCACTTCAAGTGGCTCTACAGGATTCTGCTTTAAAAGTCCCCACAGTCACAGATTCTCTGGTCTTTGGTGACATGCTGCCACCACCCAGATGTAAAACCCCTTTTCTAAACCCAGGAAAACTCACGTGGGAATTTCTTCCTGTCCAAACTCTTTTATCCTCCCTCAGGAGAGAGCTTGAAAACAAAGTGTAATTTCTAATAGCTGACCCCTTACTGGTCTCATGTGTGTGCACACTGCCCCTCCTGTCCTGTAGGACACAGGAATCAGAGTATCGCCTTAAAAAGGTGATTTTACTAACAAAACAAAAAAAGGGTACTTGGTAAACACATACTTGGGTGGCAGGAGATACAGAGCAACTGAGGGAACAGATTAAAACACAGGGAATTGTTTCCCAGGGATTTAGCTTCAGTTACAGTGTATGGAGGAGAGGGGATCTTATGAGCTCAGCACAGAATTTACAGACCATACATTTTTAAAAATCCCACTCTTGTTGTGTCTAACTACACACTCCCTTTTCTTATTCCCTTGTTTTCTCTGTTGTAGACATGAATACTGCTAAAGCACATTTCATATCCTGCTTCCAAGGTTTATTCCATCTCTTCCCAGCTTTTCTCTCCCCAAACCTCACTATGAACTGCAGCAGGTAATTCACTTCTTTCAGTTCAAATCTCACACATTCTTCCCCTTGGCTGTCCCAGCTCCCTACACACTTTGCCCCTCTTGCTGGACTCAGCAATAATCTGTGTATCATGATACTCACGGAACTGGGTTTTCCTCCCATAATGGATTAAAATGTCTGTTAAAAAACAAAACAAAGCACAAATGTTACTCTCCTGCAGCATTTCCTACAATAGACAGAATGATTCTCCTCTAACGCACAAATTTAAATCAGGATGCAATTTAGAGGTCTTCATGAGTCCCATTTTTTAATGATGAAGAAAAATGGAGCCAGAGAAATAAGATATTGGTTGATTTTTTTGGAAAACACCAAGGCATTTTACAGTTATGTTTTGCAAATTATTCCCTGACCATAATAAAGGAAAAAATGCTGTTGGGCATGCTAATTGGAGAAATATGCAAGAGACATTGCTGATCATGAAACTTCCAAAGCTCATATTAATGTTATGTCTAAGTTTGATGATAAATGTAAACTATCCAAAAGACTTGATTCTGTGTTATCGGCTCAGTTTGAGAAGGAGTGTTCTTTTCGGAGGAAAATGCTGAGATGTATCGTTGCAGTGGTGAAACTGCTGTGTTCTTTGGGAGTACATCAAAGAGGACATGCTGTCATCAGTGTCAAATGAAAAAGGTATTTTTTTAACCTGCCTTGAATATCTTAGGGTACATCTGACCCCAACAAGAAAGCGATAAAATTGGCCTGCACTTGCTAGTTTTGCTTCTTATTTGCAGGATTTCATGCTCCCTGTCTAATCTTATAAATATATTAGAAAGTTTGTTTTTGTTTGTTTGTTTGTTTGTTTGTTTTTGTCCCAAAAGATCTCAGAAACGGTAAGAGCTAGAAACACAAAATTTTGAACAGATTCTACAGATTTCCTAACTTAAATAACTGGATCAGTTATATCTCGAAATCAGTTCCCCCAGAGCCCCAATTGGGCCTGCAGAGCTCCAATTGGGCCACTAATTCGCTTTTAGTAGCACCTGATTGTAGGCATTTGCTGGACTCTTCTGTTAAGCGTGTCACAAACTGCAACTACGAGATCCTTTCTTTATGATAACAGAAAAAGTATTTCCGATAAAATATGTTATGTTAATGTAATTTATGTAGTTCATTTGTTTGTTTGTTTGTTCGTTCGTTTGTCCCAAAAGATCTCCAAGCCAGTAAGAGCGAGAAACACCAGATTTTGTACGGATACTACTGATTTCCTAACTTCAATAACTGGATTGGTTATATCTGAAATTCAGTTCCCCCAGAGCCCCAATTGGGCCTGCTGATAATTAGCTTTTAGTAGTGCCTGATCGTAGGCATTTGCTGGACTCTTCTGCTAAGCATATCACATAAACTGTGACTACGAGATCCTAGAGGATAAAGCATGTGGGCACCTGCAGCACCATCAAGGGAAAGCCCATGCGGGAGAGGCTACAGCGGGGCAGAGAATCAGTAACATCCCCTGTACGAGGGCACCAGCAGGTCTCCAGGACAGACCCAAATGTGGCTGATGCTGGCTGGGGTCTAGCCTGTTGTTTGTGTCTGAGAGAAGCCTCCAGCTATCACAGCCTCTCAACATCTTCATGCAGCCGGGCTCTAACTGAACCCCTTCTGGAAATTAAAGTTGCTTCCTTACCCCCATGCCCAAAAGAGCCATCCCACAACTTGCCCTCCTTTGGGCTGCGTGCATTCCCCTAACAAGGCTGTGTGCATTATCAGCAACTGCCACGGGCATTATGCACTTTGCAGGATACAGATCACAGTACAGAGGAGGTGGGTAGGGAGACAAGGTTTTGAGCACCGTGGAGGCTGAGGAGGACATGGTACACTCAGAACAGCCTATTCTCATTAAAACAGGTACATTCAGGTGCTGCATATTCTGATCATCTATATATCACTAATTGCACCTGGTCTGAAGGTGTTTTGCTTTGTCTGATCAATGCAATTGGTCCAATTGCCGCTAGGAAGTCCATTCAGATTGCCCTGAAGGCATTCAGAGTGTGCACTGAAGGCACTTGGGGAGTGACTACTTAGGGAGCAGTGATTTGCTGCTGCTGCAGAGCCCAGGAGACGTCCCCTCCATTTCTCAGGACATCTGACAAGGAGGCTGCAGGCATTGGTTTGCACAGAGTGTTTAAGGGAAGATGGGCCTTCCTGATTTGTGGGGACTGAGAAAAGACACCCTATGAGATCTGTCATTTTGTAAACACATCACTACCTAGGTTAATTTCTTAAAGTAATATACAAGAGAAAAGTATTTCCAATAAAATATACAATGTTAATGTAATCAACGTAGTTCATTCATTGCACATTTTACTATATTTTCCCCGGCTAACGCGGGGTATTTCTGCTAGTTTATAAATAAGTTGAAGAGGATTGATCCTAGGACAGACCTTTGGGGAACCCCACTAGTTACCTCTCTCCACTCTGAAAACTGACCATTTATTCCTACCCTTTGTTTCCTGTCTTTTAACTAGTTCTCAGTACATGAAAGGACCTTCCCTCTTTTCCCATGACAACTTACTTTACTTAAGAGCCTTTGGTGAGAGACCTTGTCAAAGGCTTTCTGGAAATCTAAGTCCAGTAGATCTGCTGGACCCCCCTTGTCCACATGTTTGTTGACCCCCTCAAGAACCCTTTTAAAATATGTACCAGTCATTAGGTACAGAAGCTGATTTAAAGGATAGGTTACAAACCACAGTTAATAATCCCACAATGTCAGAACTCTTGGGTGAATGCCCTCTGGTCCCAGTGACTTGTTACTGTTACGTTTATCAATTTGCTCCAAAACTGCCTGTAATGACACCTCAATCTGGGGCAATTCCTCAGATTTGTCGCCTAAAGGGAATGGCTCAGGCTTGGGAATCTCCCCAATATCCTCAGCTGTGAAGACCAAAGCAAAGAATTCATTTAGTTTCCCCACAGTGACCTTATTGTCTTTAAGTGCTCCTTTAGCATCTTGATCATCCAGTGGCCCGATTTATTGTTTAGCCAGCTTCCTGCTTCTGATGTACTTTTTTGCTATTATTTTGGGGGGTTTGGCTAGCTTTTCTTCAAACTCTTTTTTGGCTTTTCTTATTATATTTTTACATTTACATTTGAGAAATTTTGGAAAGAAAACGTGTACAGTGAAAGCTATCTGAATAAATACTTTTTTCAAATTGAATAAATCTCTTCAGAGGAAGTTATCTTCTATTTTTCAATTCGTGCATCCTCTGTACATATTTTTATGTGTTTTTCATGTTAACTTAATGCAAATACAAGCTTTCATCTAGGCCAGAAGTTCTCAAACTGCACTCCGAGAACTCCATTCACGTGGACTGAGGAAAGTTTATTTTTTTTATAAAGCACTCTTATCTAAAGCACTTTACAATAGTTAGTTCATGGTACAAACAATATTTGGACAGATCATTAAGTGATCCACTGAGACCTTCTGCAATTTTCAAGTGATCTGTGAAAAAAATTAAACAAAAACAAGGTACCTCACTTCATTTTCATTTACTTCATATTCTTTATAATATAGGAGGAGGATGAAGAAAAAAGAATGAAAAATGAGAGGGACAGGAAGAGTGAATGTTTTTTTTCATACCTGGGTCTCCAGGAGTGCCCCAAAAATGAAGCTGAGCGCAGGGCCCCACTACCTATTTTAGTAAAAATCAATACAGCCAGTTAACAACCATGAGACAAAGAACACGTTTAACTCCATTTGTCTCATTCTTTTTGCCTTATTCTGAACCTAAGAATCACCAAATGACATTTATAGGCAGCAGGTTTAAAACAAACCGTAGGATGTGTTTCTTCACACAATACACAGTTAACCTGTGAAACGCCTTGTCAGAGGATGTTGTGAAAGCCATGATTATAAATAAATAGAACTAGATAAATGCAGAGAGGATGGAGTGGCTATTAGAGGGTTGGGTCTCTAACCTCAATTTGCCAGAAGGTGGGAATTGATGACGGGATAGATCACTTCCTGATCCCTCTTTTGTTCCTTCCCTCTGGCTTTGGCTCCTGTTGGCAGAAAGGACACTGGATTAGATGGACATTTGGGCTACATCTACACTGCATCCCTCTTGTGCAAAAGCCTATGAAAATGAAGCGTGCATTAGCATATTACCACATTTCATTTGCATAATTAATTAGGGGCTGTTTTTGCACAAGAGGCTTTTGCATAAAAAGGAGCCGTCTACACAGCTCCTTTTTGTGCAAAACCCCCCTTTTGTGCAAGAGCCGTTCTTCCTGAAAAAATGAGGAAGAACAGCCTGTTGCACAAAAACAGCCCCTAATTAATTATGCAATGAAAGTGTGGCAATATGCTAATTCGTGCTTCATTTGCATAGGCTTTTGTGCAAGAGGGATGCAATGTAGACGTAGCCTTGGTCTGACCCAATATGGCTGTTCTTCTCTGTCTTTTATGAAAAAAAAGAGTTTCCCATAAGAGAGAAAAGCTTCCTGTTGTTCATGAAGGTTAGCAAGCCATTGTTTACTGTGTGTGTTCCCTCTGGGTGTTGAGAGATCATGGCCTTTAAAAACCTGTCATGGGGCAGAGGATGTTTTGGGAATGACACAGTGTGTGGCTGGGGCTTCAGAGTAGAGAGCTACAGTGAGAAGGATTGCTCAAAGCCTGGGAGGGAGAGAGCAGCCGACAAGGGACACCCCCGGACCGGAATGAGGTGGAGCAGTGTGCCAGGGATGAATCACCAGCGAAGGACAGACCAGAGCTCGGCCCATTATCGCTGTGGCCCAGAGCTACATGGGGCTATGAGTTCTGGGCCTTGCATTGAGAATAAGGAGGGAGGCTGTAGCTAGCTAAGTGGGGTCGGTGTCACCCTCTGTGGACAACGGAAGAGGGCACCAGAAGGGTTTGTTGGGGAATGGTCATTGGTGCTGAAGACTCAGACTCACTGCAGGACTTGAACTCTGCCCAGAAGTCCTGAACTCTGAGTGTAGACGCGCTGCTTAGCCTGTGCCCTGTCGTAGTGTGGTACCACTGGGCCTGTCGGGATGTGTGTTGTGTTCCCTCCTTCCTCCCTGGTTTGTTCCAGTCTTCCCTCTGTCAGTACACATTTCTCTTTCTATTGATTGGACTAGTCCGAGGAGAGGGGAATTTTCACTCAAGGGGTGTGGAACCGGGGTCCTTGTGTGAAAGGGACTTCCCTGCCACATTCCTGCATGTTCCTTTCCTTAGGGTACGTCTAGACTACCGGTTTTTGTCGACAGAAGTTCTGTCGACAGTATCGGTAGACAAAACTTCTGTCGACAAAGAGCGTCCAGACACAATGAGTTCTGTCGACAAAGCAAGCTGCTTTGTCGACAGAACCCTGTAGTCTAGACGCAACCCTACAGGCAATAACACCTTCTGTCGACAGAACTCTGTTGACAGAAGGTGTTATGCCTCATAAAATGAGGTTTACCAGCGTCGACAAAACTGCTGAGTTCTGTCGACGTTATGTCGACAGAACTCAGCGGTAGTATAGACGCTGGTATAGTTTTGTCGACAAAAGTCCACTTTTGTCGACAAAACTCGGTAGTCTAGACACACCCTTAGGCAGAGCAGCCTCTGCCTTGGCCACAAGCTACACATGGCAGAGGGAAATCGGAACTCATTCACTGCACAGGATCTAGATTCAGAGAAGGACAAAAAGAATATAAAGGGCCTAGAAAATCTGTCTCTCTATTTTATCTGTTTGTCTCACTCTCTCTCTGTCTATCCATCTGTTCACGAACTCCTCCTCAACGGTAAGAGCTACGGTCACCAAATTTGGAAGGCAGCTTCCTCTTCTCCTAACTTACAGCAAGGTCAGGGTTTGGCTGTGCCAGGAAAACAAGACATCCCTGGAAAGGGACTATTTTCCATAACATGGAAAGGGAGGGGCCGTTCAGAGGGACACGATACTCACAGTCACCACTGGGGGCAGTGAGTGCAGGGGAGAACTATCCTGCAGAGCGACCCCTGGTGGCAGCCGCACCACCAGCAGAATGTCCAGAATGGGCTGGGGCTCTCCGTCTTGCCTGCCACCAGACCGGGTAAGTAGCCTCTGTGCCCCAAATACTTCCCCCTCCCCTACAGGCCCTTGGCCATAGCACCAGAGGGGGGAGGGGAAAAGCCCCTGCCAGCTTAGAGGTGCTGGAGAAAGAGACACCCCAGCCAGATGGGAACCCCTGCCTGAGCCCCTCCTCTGCCCTCAACTCTGACTCTTGCACCCCTCCCCACCCCCAGGCCTGCACCATGAAGGACCTAGGCAATGCTGGGTAAGTCTGCTAGCAATCTCACACAGAGACAGAATGAAAAGATGGGGACTGCTTACCTCAGAAAACAGTCAGACACAGGACAGACGTCAGCACCACTGGAAAGCAGACACTGCAGTGAGGTGAGTGGTATAAAAACCTGAGTTGAACAGAATACAATAGAGGGGCATGATAAAGTATTTATAAAATTACACACAGAAGAGAAAGTAAAAGACTATTGCCTACTCAGTCCCTTTCCCCACAGGAGGAGTTGCAGCCATGGGGGAATCTGAGAGGGGGGGAGTGTGTGTGGGGTGCTGGAGGAGTTCAGGGAAGGGTGGCATGAAGGGGGGGAGGGGCTCAGATATGGGCTGTGTGGGATGTTTGAAGCATTCAGCCCCGTGCACACAAAACTGTTACATCTATGCCCACAGCTCCTGCCACACTGTCCCAATGACTCCCTGGTACCCCCTGCCCTGTGTCTACCTCCTCTACCCATAGCCTCAGCCTGTGGGGCCCAAGCAGCTGCCTGTCTCTCTGTGAGGCGATGCAAGGGAGGGAAGGGACTGTCATATATACCTGCACCAAGCATGCAGCAGCAAGGAAAAGAAGAGGAGACCTGGGCTGGAGTGGATGAGACGCTGGGGAATTGTATTTGTAACAAGCGAGCAAACACCCTGCCCAGAAGCTCTGTTAACACAGAGCTGAGCTCGCTCCACGATGCCCTTCCTGACCATGGCCAGTGGCTAAAAGGGAACCTTGTGCAAACGCTCTAGATACACAACATCTGAGCCACTGGGGGCCCCCAGCCATGGGACCGGCTCTACCCCTGCCCCCCCAGCTCCATCCTGTCTCCGTGGGACTGGCTCCACACCTGCCTCCCATACAGGTTCTGGCTCTGCTTCCAGCCCCCTACCCCAAGACCTCAGCCATGGGATGGCTCTGCTTTGGGCCCCCTGGCCAGACTCCTTCCAACTAACCACTTCACTGCCAGACTCCCAGCTGGCCCCCGCTCTGAGCTGCTGGGGCTTTCTGATCCAGGGGCTGTCTGGTCCCACAACATCCATTGTCCTCCTGGGCCAGAGAGCCCCGCCAGGGTCATTCTTTTCAAGACCATTTTATTTCCCCTGGTTTCAGTAAATTGCACACACAGTAAGGGAGCATGTTTAAAAGAAATTTACACAGCAAAATCGTAGGCAACGTGAGCAGAAAACAGGATACTGAAACTCATTGTATAGGCACGCATGCACACACACACACACACACACACACAGTTACACACAATACCTTCTCTGTGCAACTGTTGGTGTCAGCTGCTGGCGTCAGATGAGAAGAGACTCGCTCCCACGGGTCTGTGCCTCTGTAACTGGCCTGGGCACACCTGGAGGAGGGGAGGGGCGGAGATGGGGCAGACAGGCAGAGGCGAGCACTGTGCAGTTCCGTGCCTGCTGGCTGAGTGCACGGCGCAGCAAACTGCCTCTGCCAAAACCCACAAACATGTCACAGGAACTGCTGTTAGCGTGATTGGCTGCTCGCAGCGAGAACCCTCCTCACAGCCCATGCACCCTGCAGCCAAAGGCCCAGCACTCACGGCAGGAACCACACAGGCACCAGTGTCACCAGAAGTGCCACTCCTGGGATGGGAGGGGGGACAAAAATTGCATTTCTCCCCATCGTGCCCCCCCCAAAGTCTATGACAAGTGTAGCTGCTCTGGCTCTATTCCACGCAGCTGCTCACGATCACTAGAGGGGATACTGAGGCTGAGGGAAGGAGGGTGACTAAGGCAAGAGGGTGCAGAAGCTAGTCACAGTCACCCCCACCCCCATTCGCTAGCCTGCTCCTCCCAAGCACCTGCCACGCTGGGCAAGGAAGGGCAGGACAAGGGACTGGAAAGAGAGGCAGGAGCCAAGCTGTGGCAGTGGGAGGACAGAGGAAGACAGAGGGAAGGAAAGCGAAGGGAAACGGGAGGGTGAAGATGACACTGCTTGTGGAGTTGTGCATGAGGAGCAGGAGGGTAGCAACCAGATAATCGTTAAACATTATTCCTACCGAGAAGTCTGTAGGAATGCCTAACAGTGGATGCTAGTAGGAAGGGGGTAGTTTCAGAAGGTAAAATAAAAAAAGAACAAGTTAAAAATCACCTAGAAAAGTGAGATGCCTGCAAGTCACCAGGGCCTGATGAAATGCATCCTAGAACACTCAAGGAGCTGATAGAGGAGGTATCTGAGCCTCTAGCTATCATCTTTGGAAAATCATGGGAGACTGGAGAGATTCCAGAAGACTGGAAAAGGGCAAATCTAGTGCCCATTTATAAAAAGGGAAATAAGAACAACCCAGGAAACTACAGACCAGTTAGTTTAACGTCTGTCCCAGGGAAGATAATGGAGCAAGAACTTAAGGAATCATCTGTAAACACTTGGAAGGCGGCAAGGTGATAGGGAACAGCTGGCATGGATTTGTAAAGAACAAATCATGTCAAACCAATCTGATAGCTTTCTCTGATAGGATAACGAGTCTTGTGAATAAGGGAGAAGCGGTGGATGTGGGATACCTAGAATTTAGTAAGGCGTTTGATACGGTCTCGCATGATATTCTCATCAATAAACTAGGTAAATACAACTTAAAAGGAGCTACTATAAGGTGGGTGCATAACTGGCTGGCTAACCGTACTCAGGATATGTCTACACTAGGTTCTCAATCCTGCTGGAAAGGTATAACAAGTGGGGTTCTGCAGGGGTCTGTTCTGGGACCGGCTCTGTTCAATATCTTCATCAACGATTTAGATATTGGCATAGAAAGTACGCTGATTAAGTTTGCAGATGATACCAAGCTGGGAGGGGCTGCGACTGCTCTGGAGGAAAGGGGGCGCTCCGTTAGTTTGAATTTAATTCGAACTAATGGAGCGCTTAGTTCGAACTAGGTAATCCTCATTCTACGAGGATTAAGCCTAGTTCAAACTTACTAGTTCGAATTAAGGGGTGTGTAGACCCTTAATCCGAACTCGGGGGAGGCTAGCCCTCCCCAGCTTTCCCTGGTGGCCACTCTGGGCACCACCAGGGAAACTCATATGCCCTCCTTAAACAGGTGTGTTGTGAGCAAGACACGAGAAGTCATTCTTCCGCTCCACTCTGTGCTGGTTAGGTCTCAGTTGGAGTCTTGTGTCCAGTTCCGAAACATTTCAGGAAAGATGTGGAGAAATGGGAGAGGGTCCAGAGAAGAACAACAAGAATGATGACAGGTCTAGAGAACATGACCTATAAAGGAAGGCTTAAAGAATTGGGCTTGTTTAGTTTGGGAAGTAGCAGGTTTGGGGAGGAAGGCTAGCTCAGTGGTTTGAGCATTAGCCTCCTAAACCTGGGGTTGTGAGTTCAATCCTTGCAGAGGGGATTTGGGGCAAAAATTTGTGAGGGATAGTACTTGGTCCTGCTGTGAAGGCAGGGGACTGGACTGGAGGCCCCTTCCAGTCCTATGAGATAGGGAATCTCCATTAATTCAAGACTGAGAGGGGACAGGATAACAGCTTTCAGGGAGCTAAAAGGGTGTCACAGGGAGGAGGGAGGAAAAATTGTTCTCCTTGACCTGTGAGGACAGGACAAGAAGCAATGGGCTTAAACTGCAGCAAGAGAGGTTTAGGTTGGACATGAGGAAAAACTTTCTAACTGTCATGAGGAAAAACTTTCTAACTGTCAGGGTGGTCACTGGAATAAGTTGCCCAGGGAGGTTGTGGAATCCCCATCTCTGGAGATATTTAAGAGCAGGTCAGATAAATGTCTATCAGGGATGGTCTAGACAGTACTTGGTCCTGCCATGAGAGTAGGCAACTGGACTGGACTTGATGACCTCTCGAGGTCCCTTCCAGTCCTAGTATTCTATGATTCTAAGAAGGCAGGACTTGAAAACCAGAGCCTGACTACAAGAGATTACACTGAAAAAGCAGATGAGAATTAAGTTGTGCTGCAATTGGCACTAATGGCTCCCACAAGTCACCTTTAAAAATCTGAAGCCATTTTCAGTTACCAAGGACTCTCCAGAGAAATGCCCGACAGGCCTATTACCGACCACACCAGCCCACTACCATAATTAAACAAACCCTAATGCTCAACTTGGTGCTTTACGGGAGAACTGAGAATGTGAGCACAGCACGTTCAGACCTCGGGAGATGTATTAGCTGAGCCTCCCCATGCCGCAGAGAAGTAGGTAGGGAAGTATTCTTCTCATTTCACAGGTGGAGTAAAGCAAGGCACAGCGGGGAGATCCTGCAGCAGAACCATGGTTGTGGAGGCATCCATCCAAAGCTCAGCCCCAGTAATTTGCCCACGTGCACAAGCAATACACAGCGGCCGACTCTGGAGGATGTCAATAGCTGCCCAGCTCAGAAGCTGTGATAACAGACCCAGGAACCTACTGTACAAACAGACCCTGCCTTCCTCCTCTACACGTCCCATTTGCCCAGCTCCCGTAGTTCATACACCGGCTCTCCAAATACTTCACGGCAGCACAATGTGGCAAAGCAGCAGCTGAACAGAAGCCCGTCCCCAGTCGAGCAAACCCACCGGTTGTTGTGAATTTAAACGCCATCTTTCCCTCGAATTGTGATGGGATGTAAATGCAGCCAAATGCCCAGTGGTACAGTTTAATACGTTACTGAAGAAATTCTTGTCCCTACCAAGGGAACTGCTGCCGAGGGGCAGAACACCCGCCTCCCCCTCAAACACGAAAAGCAGCACATTACATTCCCCTTCCTAAAACGCACCCCACTGCATGACCGTGTCTTCTTTCCCTCCTTTCCTAAATCGT